GCAATAGCTGAACTGTGCTTGCACAGCGACAAGGCCATCTCTGTTTCTCACTCTGCCCCTGCAGCGAGGAGGCTGGCGGGGGGAGCCAGGGGCTGGGAGAGGACACAGCCAGCACAACCGACCCCAACTGACCAAGGGGATATTTCATACCCTGTACCCTCATGCTCAGCAATTAAACTGGGGGGAGTTTCCCCAAAGTAGCTATTGCTTGAAGATTGGCTGAGCATCGGTCTGGTGGTGGAATGTGGTGACTACCTTTGCATGACTTGTTGGGGTTTTCTTCCCCCTTCACTGAGGGTGTGGAGTTTCTCCGCCAAACACGGGCCTGTCCCAATGCAAATACTTGGTTAGTTGGATATGCTGCATGAAAACTCAGTGCTGGCATCTTTATTAGCTGAAATGACTGTTAGAATCACTGCTAGCCATGTACTTAATGCTGTCAATCATTAAAGTAGCATTCAGAGGATTAATCTGTACATATACTATGCCCTATGATGTATAAAAGCTGAACTATTTTGAATACGTTGCCTTTGTTTTCACATTTAAAATCTTATGTGCACAATAAAAGTATTCACAACAGAAACCTGTGTACACTTCTATTATGTCAGATGGCACCTGCCTTTCATCTGTGTGAGGGCCCTTCTGGTTGGCTGCGTCCCAAGAAGCTGAGTACTCCTGCTTTTTTCTTACCCTTTGGCCTTCGTACTTTCACCCAAGCAAAGTGCAACACAGCTCCTCCCCAGCCCACTACCGCTCTCTGAATGGGAGAGCAAAGTGCAGCTGGGAAAGCTGCATGCGTCTGCCCCAGGTCTTTCCCACCCGTGTGCTATGTGGGCTTTGGCGCTGACACCAACAGTTGTGATTGCAGCTCCTAATTGTCATAGAATCATAGAATGTCCTGAGTTGGAAGGGACCCACAAGGATCATCAAGTCCAACTCCTATCCCTGCATAGGACAACCCCAAAAATCACACCATATGGCTGAGGGCGTTGTCCAGTTGCTTCTTGAATGTTGTCAGGCTTGGCACCATGACTACCTCCCGGGGGAGCCTTTTCCAGTGCTCCACTATCCTTTGGGTGAAGAACCTTTTCCAAATGTTCAACCTAAACCTCCCCTGGCATATCTTCCTGCTTGTTTGCTACCCTTGCATATCTTCTTTTGCTTGTTTTGATGAGCTAGTGATGTTGATAACCTCAGATACTGAGCACGGAGCAGATACAGTTGTTTGTCATCTCTGTAAAAGCAGCACTGAGTGTCAGCATCTCAAGCTAAGCATCCGAGAAACCTGGCAATACCTGCTAATGGGGGGGCTCTAACCTCCGTCTGACAGTATGGGGGGTGCTGGGAAAGCAAGAGTTACAGCTGCCGAGCCCTTTCCAGCCATCCTCTACAACAGGCGTGTCTGCTGAGCTGCGGATTAACCGCTGTTGCATAATAAATAGGGTTGTTTATTTATATTAAACATGAAACTTAAATAACTCATCACAAACTTTCAAGGCAAAGCAAACACGGGCAGCTTTGCAGTGCCCGTGACTGGGGCATCAACGAGCTCTGCTGCCGGATCCTAAATGGCTGGGTGGGTCGAAGATGTCATCCGTTTCTGTCGCCGGAGCTTGCTGCCTGCTTTCTGCCTAGACCACGTGGTTTCTTGGAAGTCGAAAGGAAACAAATCCACTTCTCAGCCCCGCTGCCCATTTCCCTGCGTCGCAGCGGTAGACACGTCCTCTGCTTCCCTGGCTGGGGACAGAGCCAGGAAAAGCTTGGCCACTGTGCGCAGCCTGGAAAACCGGTGCTGTGGTCCCTGCTTGGGATTTCCCAGCGCTCGCTGCCCCTTGGCCTGACCCTGCCTGCTGAGGAGCATCCCGTCCGTGGGCAAGGCTGTCTCTGCAGTGCTGCCCAGCGCCCCGTTAGAAAATAGTTCTCCCTATTCAGCAGAAATTACACTTAAGAGCATTCACTTCCTTCAGGATATTAAACAAAACAAACCATGGGAGAGGAAAAAGAAAGAAACCAAGCACGCATCCTCTTCCCCTGGGGTGTGGGGGGTGAGTGTTGGCAACAATGTGACGACTTTATGACTAAACCACAAATTTTTCACAGCAATACTATTTTGAGGCCCAAAAAACCAGGCTTTTGGAGCTTTTTTGTTTCAATCTCTAGAGACCCCTGAGGTGTAGTACAGATGCATATAACCCTATCAGAGATGTCAAAATTTTATGAGGTATTACTGTGTTCATCTTACAAGGACTTGGCAAATCGTGCAGGGGGAAAATAGAAGATAATTTTCCAAAACAGTGAAAGTAACACCTGAAGGTGAAAGGAAAGAATAGAAAAGCGTGTCACAAAGAGCACGGTGACATGCTAGAGGGCGTCATTGTTTTGTCTGTGCAGGAGGAGGTCGGGGACTGCCCAGTGCTGCTCACAGCTGGCTTGGCACCAGGCAAAATTGACCCGCTGCATCCCAAAACTGGACCAACCAGATGAGTTTACGGTGCCTCTGTGGAAACATGTTTAAGAAAGGGCAGTGAATGCTGAAAAAGAAGAGACAAGGCCAGGGCAGGTACAGGACCCAAAGGGACAGTGACTGGTGGAAGAGCCCATGCTGGAGCGGTTGAATAGGACACAAGGAGCAGCAAGAGCAAAGGGTCGCCCACGCACCAACCCCCAGCTCCTGCACCACCCACGGTCTCACTGAAGGGCCTGGGTGTAACCTGTGGCACGGGGGTGGGGGACCAGGATGGGGGGGGGGAGAGAGGTGTCTAAGTGTTTGTTGGTTTGTTACTTGGCAATAAATTAATTTGATTGAAATTTCCGAACACAAAACTGGGTATTTTTTTGGCCCATGACGGGATGTCTGACAATATATCGAGTGAATGAGCACCTCCATACTGCAGTGTCCCAGGCAAGGTTGGGGAGAGCAGAGAAGTCCCTTAGGGAAGCTGAGGTTTGCTTGCGAACTGCTGCAAACAAAAGCCAAAGGGGAGGGAAATGAACGGCAAAAAGGGACATGAAGAGGAAAAGACTAAGAAAGCTAAGAGGGAAGACTTATCCTTGAGCAATGTGCACTGCTACCACAGTTCAGGCCAGAGAGCCTGGCTCACCACCATGCTCCAGCTTCTCCCACCGAGAAGCGTCCACAGCAAGTCAGGGTGCACCAGGATCTGCAAGGAGAACATGACACCTACAGAGAGGAGGAAAAGTTGCAAGTGAGTAATCGTCCACATTCACATCCCAAAGAAAAACCAGCTCTACTTCCATGCTCCCGACCTGCCCGCGCCCCTTTCCCTTTGGCTAAAGTCGGTGCTGCTCTTTCTTCAGGAGCTTGCTCCCTCCCAGGCCACCCATGACAAGCACCTGATGGGCATTCTGCTCTCAGCTGAAAACCTGGTGCTTTCCCCACTGAGCTCCTCCCAGGCAGTTTTGGCTCGCAAGGCCTGGGAACCACCAACTCCTGTGGTGCCGTCCTCGCTCCTTCCTCTGCGTCCCTGTGCTGGCAGCTGGGCTTGGCCGACCGGCATTTCCCTGGTTTGTGTTTGCCTTCAAAGAGGCAGCGGTCCCAGCAGCACAGCGTGTGTGACCCCCTTGGGGCTCTCCTGAAATCTGGGACATTTTTGTGAGGATTTTGGGATAAGAAAGCAGAAGGCTGTGCAGCTTTCTATCAGACCACTCTTTGTTTGCTGTGGTGAAAAGGGAGAGGGAGGGAAGGGGGGGTGGTTTCAGTGAAATATTTGAGGCATCCCTTGGCAGCGGTGGGACATAACTGCACCAAGACTGATCAATCTCTGTGAGGTTGCAACCACCACTTTCCTTCTGCCCCGGGATATTGGGCTGGTTTTGCTCTCCATGCCGCACATTTCTCCCTCGTGCCTGTTCCTTCCCTCCTCTAAACCATCCCACACAATACAAGGTTTTGTCTGTGCTCAGCATCCAGCAGCAGCAGCAGTTCCTCAAGCCCCTTAGCCCTTATTTCATGTGCGTGCCCTGGACTTAACCAGAACATTCCTGCCAGAGGTTAAGCCCAGGCACCGCGTGGATAATCCAAGATTTTTTTTGCCTTCAGTTCCAAGTGACCATGACAATAACGGGCCCATACATGCCATCTCCAGCTCCGCACTGGCCTTTCTCCTGCCCCTTATCTCTTTCTCCCTCCCAGGCAGGTAGGGCTTAGGGAAAGGACAGAGATCCCGACTGCAAGCCAGGAGGATAAGGGTAGCAAAATGCCTGTGCTTCCAGCTTGGGTGTCCTGCACCCATTTATCTCCTGCATTAAAACGACGTGGCTTGCCAGGGCACTGTGGCCAGGGATACTGTGCCCAGGCTGCCATCACCATCCCCACAACAGTGTCATTCTGGGCTGGTGATGCCTCGCACCTGCCCGGTACCAAGGCTGGGAGCAGCGTGGGGTGAGCCCCTGCTAAACCAGAGGACTGTGGGGAAAGCAGTGACCGTGGCATGAAAGCAGGACTGGGGAGAGTTGCCAGAGCTGGAAGTGAGATCTTTGGACTGAAAGAGCAAGAAGTGCTGGGAAGAGGGGACGGCAGGGCACCACGGTGCCCGCAGCACAGCAGCACTCAGGAACAAATGAGGAAAATTAGTGCTCGGGCAAGAATCACCCCTGGGAAAGAGAAGCCAAGCACTGGCCTAGGCAGGGGTGAGGGGGGAGGAGAGCCGATCTTTTTCTTCACCACTGAAACCCCTCTTTTTTCTCTTTTCTCCTCAGACAGTGAAATCTTTGCTCTGGCACCTGGCACCACAGAGAGAGTGCTAGTCCTCCCTCCTCATGTGGTTGGTTTCTTTCCTGATTAAAAGTGATTAGGCAGCTCTAAAGCCTGCAGAAATGTGACCGAGGGAAATGGAGACAAAGAGTCCATTCAAGATCTCTTAAATCCCTGGGGCAGTATTTAGAGAGCCCCGAGGAGAGAACTGGAGCAGAAACGGCCCCACCAGGACCTCCCCGTCCTTCTCGTTCCTGCTGCGTCCTTCGTTGCAGCTGTCTCCTCCACCATGTCGTTCTCTGAAGCAGAGGTGCAAAGTGCCCGTGGTGCCTGGGAGAAGATATATGTGGATGCTGAGGACAACGGGACAACTGTGCTGGTCAGGTAAGGAAAGAGGCCATCCCGCTGCTATCCCAGAGGGTTGAAGGAGGAACGGCAAGAAGGATGGAGTTACGACCTAGGAGCACATCTTGATGAGTTTTCATGCACACCTTCCTGGGAACGTTTTGGTTTGCTGTGGTTTATCACACCTCAGGGAGGAAACAGGCAAGAGGAGAGATCCACACAAAGAAAAGTAAAATGGTGACGTGGGGTGGAAAAGGAGGAAGAGACGAGAACAATTTCTCCACTCCACCCCTCTCCCCAGTAGAAGAGTGATGTATTCAAGTAAAGAAAAGAAAGTATGGTATAAAAGAGAATGGGAACAAAACATGGGCCTATTTTCCTCTTCCCCTTTACCTCCGAACTCCTTTAATTATTTTTTTTAACTTGCATCTCCTCAATATTTTTCTTCTGATTTTCCTTTCCAGTCCCCAGCCCATCTGTTTCATTGTATTGTATCCTTCCTGTGGGCTTTCCTCTCTTAGTTTTCGCTCTGTTTTCCTCTCTTCTTCCGTAAGACACAAGTTTCTTCTATTCACCTTTCACATATCCCTGTCTCAGCTGGGGCTTACATCACCTCCATACACACTGATCAGTCCAGCTACTATTTCTGGTTATCGTACCTTTACCACTCCCTCTGGCTTTCTTGCATATCACATCTTGTTCTTGGACCAGCCTCAACATATGTTATGAACAGCTCTTTCCTTCTGCAGTCTACACAAACTGAGGAGAATTAGGGTCAGAAATGCAGCTATAAAATGTTAGTAGCATCCAGTGGCTTGGCTCTCCAGGGTAATTTACTCTAGAAGGTTTTGCCTTAGTGTCCTACAGACCCAGCCCTGCCTTTAGAGCACTTCTGGGCTCCCCAGTACAAGACAGACATGGACATACTGGAAAGATGCCAATGAAGGGCCATGAAGGTGATGAAGGGACTGGAGCATCTCTCCTATGAGGAAAGGCTGAGAGTGCTAGGACTGTGCAGCTTGCAGAAGAGAAGGCTCAAGGGGATCTCATCAATGTATATAAAAACCTGAAGGGAGGGTGCAAAGAAGACAGAGCCGGGCTCTTTTCAGTGGTGCCCAGTGACAGGACCAGAGGCAATGGGCCCAAACTGAAAGACAGAGGATTCCCTCTGAACATCAGGAAACACTTTTTTACTGTGAGGGTGACCAAACACTGGCAGAGGTTGCCCAGAGAGGCTGCAGAGTCTTCATCCTTGGAAACAGTCAAAAACTGTCTGGACATGGTCCTGGGTAACTGGCTGTAGGTGACCGTGCTTGAGCAGGGGGTTTGGACCAGATGACTTCCAGAGGTCCCTTCAACCTCGTCTGTTCTGTGACTCTGTGAAATGCAATCTGGAATTTGTTATTGCTATTTCAGGTGGATAACTGGTTTACCCAATAGAGTAATCTGCTTTTTTAAGAGCTTGACCAAGATTATTGTAATTGATGTATTATAAAAGGCAATTCCTTTATGAGTGGCATTGAATTGTGTTACTTTTGAATAAACGAAATGAGCAGTACCCAGTACTCAAACAACAATCCATCACAGGCAGTAAGAAAGCTTTGGGATGGACTCCTGGAAGGGGTTAATTAGGAAAACCAATAGTAGCATTTCTCCATGAGAACATCCACTAAGACTACAGAGGACATATCTGCTGTCCAGAACATCCTTGGGAATATCACACTGTCACACTCACCCTGTGTGAACGTGTTCCCACTTCTCTGTGGATTTTATCTCCACCTAACACTGAGTCAACACTGAGGAAATGTTTCCTTTAGAAGCAGCGGAATAAATTCAGGATAGGTAGGTTTGAAGGTGGAGTGAGCAAATAAAAGTGCCCTGGGGAGAGGCGAGGAAGGGGACAGGCTGCTGTGGGCACAGGGGCTGTGCATAGATGGGAAAGGCAAAGGAGAACCAAGAAATGCAGGGGAAAGAGGTGTCTGTTCTAATAAAGAGAAGGAAAAAGGGCAATAAGTGCATAAAACAAGGCCTGGAACACGAAGCCATATCTGCAGCAATGCCTCGGTCCACAAATTAGGACATCTCTCATTTCTCAACAGGATGTTTACCGAGCACCCAGACACCAAGTCCTACTTCACACACTTCAAAGGCATGGACTCCGCCGAAGAGATGAAACAGTCGGATCAGATCAGGGGCCACGGCAAGAGGGTTTTCACCGCCATCAATGACATGGTGCAACACCTGGACAACTCCGAAGCTTTTCTTGGGATAGTGAACCCACTTGGCAAGAAACACGCCACCCAGCTGAAAATCGACCCCAAAAACTTTAGGGTGAGACAGCAGCCACCTTCCCAGGGGCTGTAATTGTGATGGGAAGATGTCTTCCCCTTGGAGGGGTAGAACTGAGGAAAACAGACTTTGTATATATAAATATATATATGCTTCAGAGAGTGGAGATGGTGGAAGGTGAGATGGTTGATGGTGGAAGATAGCAGGAGTGAGAGGTCTGGAGTCTGCTGAGAAGGCGGCTGTGCAGCAGATGTGATGCAGGCAGGTCTGCTCAGGTGGGAGCTGCAGAGCTGCCCACGAGTTGTAGTGGGCTTTCTCAGTGCAACAGCATTCCCATGCTTGTCATTTAATAACAAGGCACAGAAAAGCACTTAACACTGGACTTCAGTCCTTGATGTCTATTTTTCTCTAGTAACAGGAACTAAGCTTTTCTAAGACAACTAAAGCAGCTGTTATTGAGCAACAATGGCAACAGAATTGCCATCACTAAATAAACACAGATAATAAATACAGGATCAGGTGAATCACCCAAGTCCCCCTAAGGTCACTAGCAGAGTTCATTTGTATCTATTTTGTCTGCCTTACACAGCACAAAATGCAAAAGGAGGCACCTTCTGGCAAAGGTCCCTCAGGCACCAGGAAGGTGGTTTCCAAAGCAGTGGGCCCAATTTTCAATAAGTGGGAGAATAAGTGAGGATTTCTGCCTGGAGAGATCCTGAAAAGACTTTTTCAGGGTAAAGATGGACACAAAATAATAAATGCTGCACAGAAAAGGAGTTGATGCTTCAAAGTGTACCAGCTACCTAGCGTCTGTAAATACTTACAAACCCTCATTGCTACAGGGTGCTAGGTAGCTAACGAGCAGGAAAGATTAGGAAGAAACTTACCCCTCTCAAACCATGTATTCCATAGGTGTCAAACATGGGGCTTCTCGTGGCCTCTAAACATTTGGGACAGTCCACTGCCAGGAGAAGGATTGCAGTAGATGGACCAAGTGAATTGGTCCTGTACAGAAGTCTTTAAGTGACTGTGTATATGGATGCAGTCAACATTAACTAGATACAGGATAGTTAAAAAAAACCCAACAACAACGGTGACTGCATTTTTTGTTGAATTCTATAATGCACCTAATTTTCCACAACCTATTTCTGGTTCTGCATGCTATATGCTACTGAATTGTTTTTGCACCCCCTTTCCACGCTCCAAGAATCCCAAATAAAAATATATATTTTGTTCTTACGCTTCTAATGTGGAGGAAAATTCACACCGGTTGTTTCTTCCCTTCTCCTTGTTTAGATTATCTGTGACATTATCTTGCAACTGATGGAGGAGAAATTTGGAGGAGACTGCAAAGCTTCCTTTGAGAAGGTGACCAATGAAATCTGCACTCACCTGAACAACGTCTACAAAGAGGCAGGTTGGTGAGGATGTGCAACCTCCAGGCTCTTCAAACGTTTTGCCAGCACTGATTTGCTGCTTTTGGGCCTCCAGTCACAGATGGAAGAATGAAAAAAAAATTTTAAAAGCAAGAAAAAGGCTTATATAATGTAGATATCAATGTCAATAATTTCCTTAGCAAACTGAGTTTCTACAGTTAAATAAAACCTGCAGATACATCAAAGCCAACCAACAAATCGTGATATGCTTTGCAGCTTCAGTGCTCCAGGTGGGTTCCTCTAACCACCGTCCTTGAAGACTACATTTTAAGACTATGACTTCAAGCTTGCTATTCCTGAGAGAAAGACTTGCTCCTTCCAGCAGCACCAAGGCACCAGCAGCTCTTTATCTCAGCTACCACCTCTCCATTCTCATGAATGACGAGCAGCAGACCATTTTGAAGCATCTGCAGGGACTTTGTAGAGGTCATTATTGAAGAGGCACGGGTGGTTTGTGTTTGAACTAAAATAATGGGGAAAGTGGTGTATGGGAAAGACCCAGGGAAAGTCCCATCCTGCATGAGCAAGTCGAGCTCCCCAACCTGGGAAGAGGTTTGTCGGAGCAACTTTGAGTGCAAGGGATGGCAGCACTGAATGTGGTCACCACTGGGTCCCTCTGGGCAGGGACGAACACCTCTAGCACGTGGATTTCACAGTGCTACTCCCAGCAAATTGTTCTGGCCACGTACCCAGGAGAGGGCAATAGTACTGAGCTCACTAGCTCCTGTGCTACTCAAAATGCATCCAGCTGAGGGAGGTTGCTGCCCCGCTGAGTGGGCGGCATGGCGGGCTCAGCTCAGTGTGGGATTTCTACGGCGCTGCCCTCATCCTGTCCTGTCGCATGGTCTGAGCCTCCCTTCAGTGGTAACTGAGTCCCGAACTATTTAATTGCTTTTCCTTGTATTCCTTAGACGTGGTGAAATCATCAGCTAATAACTGCAAATAACTACATGCCATTTTGCTTCAGTGTAATGCAATAAACACAGAGAAAGCAGATGCGTCCTCTTATTTGTAGCATGGAAAAGGCACGTGCGATGCGCAGGAGCAGTAGCTGGTTACGGTGCACGGTTACTGGTGGTACTGGGGGGTTTACCGAAACCAGCTCAAGCTCCCACCCAGGCACCCATCACACTTGAGGTAATCAGACTTCTTGGGTGGTGGGAAGGGAAGCTTTTCGCTTGACCATGAAACAGCAATTTTGTAACCAGTTAAAAATGCAGAATTCTCCTTCATTCAAGGTGTAGTTTCTTCACCCATCCCATTTGTTTGGCAAAGGATGATGAAATCCCAAAGTCCAGAAGATGAACTCTTGCCAGAGAGTGAGGATGGGCAGGCTGCCTTAGTTGATTCGGTATTTTATCCTGCTTGGGGAGAAGGAGAAGCATATTTGTGCTGGTTTTAGCTGGGATAGAGTTAATTTTCTTCACAGTAGCTAGTATGGAGCTATGTTTTGGATTTGTGCTGAAAACAGTGTTGATAACGCAGGGATGTTTTCGTTACTGCTGAGCAGTGCTTGCACAGAGTCAAGGCCTTTTCTGCTTCTCACCCCACCCCACCAGCGAGTAGGCTGGGGGTGCACAAGAAGCTGGGAGGGGACACAGCTGGGACAGCTGACCCCAACTGACCAAAGGGATATCCCACACCATATGACGTCATGCTCAGCATATAAAGTTGGGGGAAGAAGAAGGAAGGGGGAGACATTCGGAGTTACAGCATTTGTCTTCCCAAGTAACCATTATGTGTGATGGAGCCCTGCTTTCCTGGAGATGGCTGAACACCTGCCTGCCGATGGGAAGCAGTGAATGAATTCCTTGTTTTGCTTTGCTGGCATGTGCAGATTTTGCTTTACCTATTAAACTGTCTTTATCTCCACCCACGCATTTTCTCACTTTTACTCTTCCAATTCTCTCCCCCATCCCACTGGGGGGGAGCGAGCGAGTGGCTGTGTGGGGCTTAGTTGCCGGCTGGGGGTTAAACACGACAATACTGTACAGCATTGTCATCCCTCCCCCCCGGGGGGGGAGCGAGCGAGTGGCTGTGTGGGGCTTAGTTGCCGGCTGGGGTTAAACCACGACAATACTGTACAGCATTGTCACGTATTGAAAGAAAAGAACAAGACTTGTAAAAAAATATTTATAGTCTCAAATCCCTTCGAGGCAGTACAAGTAAAGTTAACACTCTGAAAAGCTTAAAATAATTTCCCCTTTTTATTTACTTGCTTTAATGCATGTTAAAAGCACTATTTGCCATGATGATGGTTAGCTGTAATGACGTGCTCGTCATTGCCATAGACACCCTGGGCTGGCAGGGGCCTGAGAACACTGGCCGATGGTTTAAGGCTCTTGTGTTCTCTGCAATGGAGAGAGAGATGTAACAAAAGCAAAGCGTGTGAAACAACAAACTCAGGCTTAAGTCAAGAGGGAATTTTAAAAAAATCCATTTACGAACGGGACGCACATTAGATTTTAAAGATTTGTATGATGTGAGTCTTTTAGAAGTACATGACCCTTTTTTCTTTGTTTATCTGAGATTTCAAAGGACAGCAGGAAGCTTTCCCAACAGAACATAGATCAGGTGGCATCTTGAGATTGAGGATACCTGAGCTGCATTCCCAGTTTTCCAGCAGCCTCACTGCACAATCCTGTCTGGCTTTCCTTGGACCTCACTGTGCCTCTGCAAAACAGCAACATTCATTCACGTACTTGGGAGGCAAACCAAACACACTCTTTACTTATTGAACCAGTAAATACGTGGTGCTATACATATTGTATGCATTCTTAGGGATAACTTTGATCCTGTGAAGAGAAACCTAAGGGAAACATCATACCTAAAGGTAGCAGGAAGAGATTTCCCATGGAGCACCACCAGTGAGTGGGACCAAAGCCCTCACACCGAGTGTCATGGTTTTCATACAGCCTGTGGGACACCAGGAAGGTCTGGGTGAGATGACAAATCTGTGAGATAGCATGAGTAGTATGAAAAGCGCTGTGGAGTTGTCTTTGTGTCTGACCTAAACCAGAACCGTGCAAACACATAGAAAATACTAAGAAAGGGGAAGAGGAGTGAGAGGGAGCTCATGGAGGAAGTTTATCCCCTCAGGTAATAACATCCAAGTGCTTTGCCAGTCATGCTGCTGGAGGAAAAAAGCATCCCCACAAGCAAAACTTTACCTTGTAGAGACAAGCAAACACTTTCCTGATTCAAAATATTACCTAACCACTGTAAAAACACATATGTACTTAAATGCAGTTCATTGACTTCGTTGAGTGGACTCAGACCTTCCAACGGGGGCAGCTTTGGGAAAGAACAAGGAATAGAAAATAAATAAAGGATCACAGGCAAAGAGATGAGAGAAATTTAACTTGAAAAACTTCAGTCACTGTGGTGACAAAGCAGAAACTTACCCAGAGGAAGGTGCATTTGCAAGGCATCCTTGTACAACTACAAATCAACGTTGGGATAAAATCCAAGAGTCCAGTGGTGTGCGACAGCATCACCAAATCATGCTGAGACAAGGGCTACGAACATACAAAGGCAACTTGAAATGACAGGGAGTGTTTTACAGAAGCAGTTAACCTAGCTGTTGAGGCATTTAAGACTAATAATTTTCTTGCTAGAAAGCCTGAGCCAAGCAGCCTTCCTGCCCCTGCCTGGAGCACGGGCAGTAGAGAGGCTCTGCGAGGTGAGCAAGAGGGGGGAGGTCGTCTCAGATATCCTGGGGCTGCCCAGAGAGGGGACCAGAGACCTTGCAGATGACTTGGAGAAGCTTCTAGGAAATCCTTCTAGCAGGGTCCAGAGGAAAACCCTCCCTTGCACCCACTCTTCTTGCTGGAAGGCACGTTATTGGTGATTGAAGTGAAGGGCTGCTTGAGCTCCTTTGCTGTAGTGGGCATAGCTATAGATACAGCCCTCAGAGGTGTTGCTTTACACTGAAAGAGTAGGGGCTGCTTCTATTTGCTGTTTAAAACACCTAGTGGTGGGTAGAAGGCGGTGAGGGTACGGCCCAGATGGGAACATGCTGGGAGCAGCGATGTTTCTACCCCATGCTAGGTGCCAGGGTGGTCACCTCTGTTAGAGCCGGAGAGGAGCAGGGGAGCCCCCGTAGGCTTTCAAGTCACCTTCGTGGTTAAACAGAAGGTACCACAAGGCTCATAATGGCACGATGCATGATGAGAAAGGATTGCTGCCTACAGAAGATCATACTGAGATAAGACAAGTGAATCGTAAGGTCTGAATCAGCACTAGGAGCCAGTGGTCCCTGGAAGAACAGAATAGCCACCGAACTCAAATGCCCGTCCACCAGGCATGGCGCTCAGGTGTCTCATATAAGCACAGATGTGACTCCTGCTGCAAACCAAACCAAAAAATGCCCCCAGATCTATTCTAACCTTCTCAGTTTTCAACATTGTAAAATCTCTCTTTTTTTCTTTCATTACAACATCCTGCTTTAGGGAAAGGTGATGTTAGAGAAGATGCCTTTTTTTCTTTACCTTTGCTGAAGCTAACACTGAGTTAATGAATATTTGTAGTTAGGATATCACTGAGGCTCAGTTAACCTTATATGCCATACCAGAGCGCTTCTGGCTTATGCAGTGGAGTGGGTTTGAGCCAGTTCAGAGGATGGCTATACTGGTCAGATTGCACATGATCAGTATCAAACAAGCCTAAGACACACAAGAGTGATTGTTTTCCTGGTGTGAGCCAGCAGCATTCTAGACTGAATTGTTTGCTTACTCAGTGGACAGTAGAAATAGCAGCCCCGTTGTACTGCAAGAATATTTTGTATGCTTGCCTTGGAGAGCCCAGGTTTCTGCTTCTGATGTCCATGGATGCATTTCCCCAGGAGGAAGCACTGCTGTGGTGTCTCTCTTGCAGGCAACAACATGGTGCTTCACCTCCCCCCTGCACAGCCACATGGGAGCAGACGAATCAAGGACATGCTGCTGGTGCTGCTGATCTCCATTCAGCCTTCCCAGGCTGTCCACCAAGGACAACCACGGCTGTCAGGCAGAGCAGGCTCATCCTGACATCGCACTGAGACTTCCCATTAGCACGGGCCACCAGCGGAGCCTTGCAT